TCCCTGGGCAGGCGCAGGACAAAGCCTGTTGGAAGAAGCAGAAGCGTGAAATGCTTGGGACGTGGCTCCTGGGAAGGGTCCAGCTTCAAGCACGGCCAGCGCATGGCCAGGCAGCTGGTCCTGGGAAACCTGGCTCCAAGGCTCGTTTGTGCCCAGTGACTGGGAAGATCTCCCGACAAGGGATCACTCGCCTTGGGATTGGGTGATTACGCTGCCTGAACGCGCTCATTTGAAAGGCCAGAAACTTGCCCTGGCACAGGAGGAGGGAGGATGCTCCATGTTGGGCAGCTCCTTGGCATCCTGGTCCTGCTGCCCAGGTTGTCTGGCAGCCAGGAGCTCCCTGAGATGCCAGGCTCTTTCTCTGCTGCCCGAAGGGAACGCGGGTGTGCCAGCGGCTTTGGGCTCAGCCGTGGTGGGGCTCACGGGTACCCTCGCCTTGGCCACAGAAAGCCACGGGAAGAGACAGGGCCCTGGTGCTCTGCAGTCATCAGGCGGCATGGGGCAAGTAATGACAGTTGGACTTACTGGTCTTAAAGGTCTTTTCCAACCTAAACTACAATTCTGTGATTCTAAGCAGGGACTGAGGAAAGGGCTTTGAAAACAGCAAAGGAAGGAGATGCTGATGACTGGGAACAGGTCCTGCACGGAACTGCTGCTGGGGTGTGCTGCTGGTCAGGGGACGTCCAGAGCACGCGTTGGTTCTTCACGCAGTGTGTGGTAGGGCTTGCTGGTGACGTAGGGTTCAAAGGAGCAGCTAGGAAATGCTGCAGGAGAAAAATGTGGCTGGCTTCTGAAGGCAAAGATGCAGCCTTACAGCTCAGGAGCTTCTGGAGCCAGGCAGCCGGGGGCACCTGGGGACCCATCTCGTCCACAGCTGGCCCTGTAGGTGATGGGGTGGTGGGGAAGGTGACCCCCTCCCCTGGCTGACCTGCGGCTGGCTCTGGCCGGGATGGAGTCGTTTTCTTCGTAGCAGCCTCGGTGGTGCTGTGCGTTAGCGCTGTGGCCCAAGCTGCTGGTAACTCACAGATGTTCTGGCTGCTGCCAAACTGTGCTTGCGCAGCGTTGGGGCCTGCCCTGTTCCTCCCTTGGCACCTCCAGGGAGGAGGCCGGGAAGGGACACGGCTGGGGCAGCGGGCTGGGACAGGCTGGGTGGCAGCAAAAAAAATAGCAGGGGGAGGCTTGCTCGGGGGCTGGCTGGGCACCAGCTGGCGGTGGGAGGCGGTCACTGAGCGCCCTTGTGTCACTTGCTGCCTTTTTTTGTTTTGCCTTTTTTCCCTTTTTTTTACCTTTTTTCACCCGTTAAGCTCTCTGTAGCCAGACTCACAAGTTTTCTCGCTTTTGCCCTTCAAATTCTGTCCCCGGTCCTGCTGGGGGAGTGACCGAGCAACTGGGTGGGGGCTTACCTGCCAGCCAGGGTCAACAACCCACCGCACTGGGTGCAGACACTCATAGTGCCGGCCAGACGC